TATATATATATATATATATTAAACTTTTCGTGTATTTTTAGAGATTTTTGTTGTAGGGCGTGTGCACTCACTGGAGAAACAGACAGAAAACAAGAACTCACCCCCTACCCCCAGGGATTTGGCCACACCACAATCCCATCTCCTTCATTCTCCTCTCAGGATTTTGGATATGCACACATGCCCGGTGTGATTTTCAAGCTCCTGGGTCTGGGACTTGAACCCCAGTTGACCATGTGGGAATCCAACAACATAACCATTACACCGTGTGTGGTGTGTGTGTGTGTGTGTGTGTGTGTATATATACACACACATATATATTTTAAACATATATTAATTTATCTATTTGTTGAGTCTTTTTTTTATTAAGCTGCTGGGTACAGGACTCAAACCATGGTTGGCCATGTGGGAATCCAGCACCTTAACCACCACTGACCTTTTGGCCCTCAGCCATATATATATATATTTTTGTTTTGTTTTGTTTTGTTTTGTTTTTGGAGAGGTTTTTGCTATAGGGTGCGTGCACTCACCAGACAGACAGAGAGAAACAGAGAGACAGAAAGCGAGAAATCACCCCCCAGGGTGGATGGCCACACCGCAATCCCTTCTCCTCCATTCTCCTCTCGAGATCTTGGGCATGCACGCACACGTGCCTGGCGTGAGTTTTAAGCCACCGGGTCTGGGACGCGAACTGCGGTCGACTACGTGGGAGTCCAGTGACATAGCCATTATGCCAACTGCTGGTCCCTCCCAGCCATGTTTTTTAAGTAGCTGGGATCAGGGTTTGAACTGAATGACCAAGTAAACATTTTTTAATCCCTTTTTTCCAATAGGCAACCACTTTCCGTATCTTACAAAAAAGTAACTAGTCTATGAATACACGAATATGCCTTTTTAGTTATTTTTTTGTTAGACAGCACGTGCACTCACTAGAGAGAAACAAAGAGAGAGGTGCACCCCCCAGTGAGGCATGGTCACACCACAATACCTTTCCTCCACCTCTTATCTACTGTGACTTCAGGCCTGCATGCACAAATGCCTGTGTGTTTCTTAGACTACCAAGGCTGGAATCCTAACTACAGTCAGCCATGTGGGATCGGGCTCCCTCAACCACTAGGTTACAGGTCAGCCCCAATATGTCTTTTTATAGTGGGAAATCTAGACTTTATCCTTGAGTATGGGACAGGGAAAGGAGTTTGGAGATGAAGGCATAATTTTTAGGGAAAAAGAAAAAACCTCACATAGAGGGTGAAGAGGGTTTGGACAACTGGATGGTTTTCATGGGAGAATGCAATGGAGTGATCAACACATTTTGCACTGTGCTCAGCACATGGTAAATATTCAGTAAATGCTTACTGATTAATTAATTGCAGCAAAAGAGTTTAGTCAGGAGTAGTTGATTAGAAGTTAAGACAAATCTGGGGATAGGTGGAGTTGTGGTTAAGGTGCTGAACTCCCACGTGGCTGACTGTGGCTCAAGTCCAGACCCTGATGGTTTGTTCCTCATTCTCTGTCTCTTGTTCTCACTCTCTTTCTCTCTGTCAAATTGAAGAATAATAATAAGATTAAATAAATAATTTTTTTAAAAAAAAGTTAGGACAGGGACCAGCAGTTAGAGTAATGGCTATGTCGCTGGACTCCCACATAGTCGATCGTGGTTCGCGTCCCAGACCTGGTGGCTTAAAACTCACACCAGGTGCGTGTGCGTGCGTGCCCAAGATCCCGAGAGGAGAATGGAGGAGAAGGGATTGTGGCATGGCCATTCCCCCTGGGGGGTGATTTCTCGCTTTCTGTCTCTCTCCGTCTGTCTGGTGAGTGCACAAGCCCTATAGCAAAAAAAAAAAAGTTAAGACAAATCTGAGGGTCAGATAAGGCAGAAAATTTTGTCATTTCTGCTCTCTGTTTTTTTTATTATTTTTTTAATTAGCTATAAGGTGTATATGCTTACCAGACAGAGAGAGAGGAAGAAAATCTAACATCCATCCATTTCATAAAAGAAAAAGAAGTTTACTGCTTAAAAACGATAAATAGTGTAGTCCTATAAAGTGAATACAACTTAATTTTTTACTTGGTATTTTGATCTTCTTGTTATTTATTTATTTTAAAAATTTTTGCCAGTGGGCATGTATACTCACTGGAAAGAGACAGAGAGAAAGTGAGAAAGCATCCCCCCCATGGGAAATGATCACACCACAATCCTTCTCCTCTATCTCTCCTTTTGGGATTTTGGATCTACACCTGTGCCAATGTGTTTCTCAAGTCACTGGGTCTGGGACTTGAACCACAAAGTCAACCATGTGGAATCCAGCTGCCTTAAACACTATGCCATGGGCAGGCCCTAAAATTCTTATTTATCCATGGATGAACAAAAGCATCCTTGTGGTTCAGTGTTTGGGAACTGATCTAGTACCTTTTTTTTCGTTTTTGGAGAGGTTTTTTGCTATAGGGCGTGTGCGTTCACCAGAAAGACAGAGAGAGACAAGAAATCACCCCCCAGGGGGAATGGCCCCACCGCAATCCCTTCTCCTTTCTCCTCTCAGGATCTTGGGCACATATACACATGCACCTGGTATCAGTTTAAGTCACCAGGTCCAGGACTCAAACTGTGGTTGATTACGTGAGAGTCCAGTGACATACCTATTAACGCCAACTGCTGGTCCACTCTAGTACCTTTTTTTTCTTCCTTTTTAAAAGAATTATTTGTTTGTTTATTTCATTTTTCATAGAATTATTTTATTTAACTATTTGTTTATTTATGTATTTTTAATTTTGACCAGAAAGGGACAGAGTGAGAGAGAAAGAGAGAGAAGGAAAGTGAGAAAGCAAGCCGCCAGGTCAGGGACTCGAACTATGGTTGGCAAGGTGGGAGTCTGACACCCTTAACCACCATGCCGCCTGCTGGCCCCTATTTATTTATTTTTTATCATTAATATTATTATATTTTTTTAGTTTGCTACAGGGCATACACTCACCAGAGACAGAGAGGGGGCGTGGAAAGTGAGAATCACCCCCCAGGGAGAATGGCCACACTGTAATCCCTTCTCCTCCATTCTCCTCTTGGGATTTTGGGCATGCACGTACACACACCTGGTGTGAGTTTCAGGTCACTGGTTCTGGGACTGAAACCACAGTTGGCCATGTGGAAGTCCAATGTCTTAACCACTATGGCACCTGCTGGCCCCCATATCTTCTTATGCTATTTTCTTCCATAGGTAAGAGCAGTTGTCAGTCTTTTTTATTATTATTATTATTCATAATCTTTGGAATAAGCATTTGAATATATAAGACATTTAGTTGTTTCATGACCTACTGAATTAAACACTCAGTTTTGGGTTCATCATAGTGACTGACCATGAACTACGCTGTGACGTTAAGGTTGATGTGATCCACAACATCGAAATTGTGTCTCGGGCCCGGGAACTATATGTAGACGATTCACCACTGGAGCTGATGGTGAGGGCTTTGGATGCTGAAGGTAACCAACTTCAGAGATTCAACAAAACTGCCTCAAATAAAGTAGTATTTCTTTATGTTTAGCATTTGGAAAAAAGAGGAACTTGAGTGATAAAAGATTAGAAATAATACTTATTTTCTTATTTGGAGCTCTTATAAATGAGAAATTAATAATTCTGAGTATAATTCAATGTATTAGCTGTACATACATTCCCAAATTTTTCTACTGTTGTTAATGATTTGTTATCTTAGAATTTTTTTGAATGTTCAAATTCTGTCCCCAAGCTTTTTCCAATGGTGCTTAGATCAATAATTAAGAATATATTTTGGTTTTGATCAGTCCACTTTTTATAGAAAAGGAGAATTAAATGTAAGCCCATGAGAAGTTGCATAAATTTTTTTAGAGGTTTTTGCTATAGGGCGTGTGCGCTCGCCAGAAAGACAGAGAGAGACAGAGAGATAGAAAGCGAGAAATCACCCCCCAGGGGGGATGGTCACACCGCAATCCCTTCTCCTCCATTCTCCTCTCAGGATCTTGGGCATGCACGCACACACGCCCGGCGTGAGTTCTAAGCCACCAGGTCCGGGACGCGAACCGCGGTCGACTACGTGGGAGTCCAGCAACATAGCCATTACGCTAACTGCTGGGCCCAGAAGTTAAATCATTTTAAGTTAATCTTTCTTTTTTTTTTAAAGAATTATTTATTTTATTTATTATTATTATTCAATTTGACCAGTTTGAAACAAAGAGAGAGAGAGAGAGAGAAAGAGAGAGAAAGAGAGAGAGGGAGAAAGCAAGCCACTAGGTTCAGGACTCGAACCATAGTCAGCAAAATAGGAGTCCAGCACCTTAAGCACCGTGTCACTTGCTGGCCTCAGTTAATTTTTCTTGAAACTAATTTTATTTTGTTTTTCATATATTAATATGCTATTAAAAAGGTTTGAATTTGTCTCCACTTTTTAAAAAATAATTATTTTATTTAACTTTATTTATTTTTATTTTAATTTGACCAGAGAGAGAGAGAGAGAGCGAGAGAGAGAAGGAAAGTGAGAAAGTAAGCCACCAGGTCCGAGACTTGAACCACAATCAGCCATGTGGGAGGCAGGCGCCCTTAACTACCGCTCCATCTGCTGGCCTCTCACCCACTTTTTTGGTAAACTTTTGAATAATGAACTATTCTGGAATCTAGTATTTATAAAAATTTGTGTTGAAAGGACCAAGATAAAGGATACCTGTCAACCAACCATAAGGTAGACTGTAAGTTCGTTTTTCTGTAGAAAGGAACAGAAGAGTGTAGCATAATGTTTGTCAATCAGAGGTTAATCAACTTGAGTCATTTTTCACTTTCAGAAAGCTTGAGCAGCAACAGAAGTTGTGTTGTTTATGTAGCGATCTTCCTCATATGTGTTTTAATTTATTAATGATAGTGCTTCTATTTAATGAAAGAGACCTAAAAATAATTTTCTAGTTAAGTTTTATCTTTCTTGTTGACAATAACTGAACTTTTAGAAATATATAATCCTATCTTGTCTGCTTTTGGTTTACTGTACAGGAAATACTTTTAGTAGTTTGGCAGGGATGATGTTTGAATGGAGCATTGCCCAGGATAACGAGGCAGCAAGAGAAGAACTGTCTAGCAAAATTAGGTAAACTGGAAACCAAACATAAATCATCTGAGTATGAAGGAGACATCTGCTATGGGTGACACACTGAACAGCAACCAATTCTGTACACACTGATAATCCTCCTGTCTGATCATTTCTGAAACAGATAA